ACCGTGATTTTAAAATGTTTGCTTGAATACTATAATCTTCCATCCTGTCACAGTTTCTACGGATACGTAGAAATTGTCCCTTGGGAATGCCATTTAGCCATCTTGGGTGATGGCAACTATTTTTTGGGATGAAACTATTATGATCTGTTACTTTAAAAAAACTTTTGGTTAAAACCCTGGTGCCTTCCCTAAAAAGTGTTAAGTCTAAAAAATGTATTTCCCAGTAGTTGCATTCGTAGGTCAAATTAATATTCAAATTATTACAATTAATTTTCTTTGTTGAGAAGAAGGATAAATCCCTAAGGCCCTGTGTGGACTACAGGGAACTAAATAAGATCATGGTAAAAAAACCATTACCCACTTCCCTTGGTACCAGAAATATTTCAGAGGCTCAGGACAGCATCCATTTTTACAAAATTAGATCTAAGGGGCTTACAATTTGGTCCGTATTCGGGAGGAAGATGAGTGGAAGACAGCCTTCCGTACCAGGTTTGGGCATTTCGAGTATTTGGTCATGCCCTTCGGTCTGTGCAATGCCCAGCCACCTTTCAACACTTTCAACACTTCATCAATGATGTGTTCGGAGATTTTTTGGACGTTTTTGTGGTCATCTATGTAGATGACATCCTGATTTTCTCTGCGTCCCTGGAGGAGCATAGAGATCATGTTAGAAGCGTGTTGGGGCGGCTCCGTCAGCATGGGCTGTACGCAAAGGCAGAGAAATGCAGCTTTGAACAATGCAGCATCTCCTTCCTGGGACTAATCATCTCTACTACGGGAGTAGCCATGGACCCCCAAAAAGATCTCTGCTATTTTGGAATGGCCGGTGCCGGCTGACAAGAAGGCAGCGATTCATTGGCTTCGCCAATTTTTATAGAAACTTTTATCAAGAACTTTTCAGGCCTCGTGTCCCCCATCACCCAACTCACCAGACAAGGGGTGCGTTTTAGGTGGACACCTGAGGCACAGATGGCCTTCGAGTGCTTGAAGAGGCTGTTCACCGAGGCCCCCATACTGAGCCACCCGGATTCCTCGTTACCCTACATTCTGGAAGTGGATGCATCTGAGAATGCGATAGGGACTGTGCTTTCCCAGAGGAAGGGCGTCAAGGAACTGATGCACCCTGTGGCCTTCTTCTCCAGAAAACTCTCATCTGCAGAGAGGAATTATGATATTGGGGACCGGGAACTTCTGGCCATCAAGGCAGCATTAGAAGAGTGGAGGTACCTACTGGAAGGAGCCACACACCCAATCCTGATCTTCACTGACCACAAGAATCTGGAATAACTGAGGACGGCGAAGCGCTTGAGACCACGTCAGGCTAGATGGGCACTCTTTTTCTCAAGGTTTGTGTTCCATATCACATACAGGACAGGATCAAAGAACAACACAGAACCCGAAGCGCTCTCGTGTATGTTTGAAGACCCTGAAGAAACCCACAAACCGGACACCATCCTGTCTGCAGGGAATTTCCTTGCTCTACAGACCGAGCTACAGTCCCAGCTACAGGCTGCATCTGTAGGGATGCCAAGTCCACCAGGGGTTTCTTTACAAAGTAAGGAAGGACTTTTGTGGAAGGAGGGATGGATCATGGTGACTGAAGAAACCCATACCGCAGTCTTTGGGCCACTGCCATGATCACCCTCTGGCTGGCCACTTCGGGGTACGGAAGACCTTGGAACTGCTGCAACGTGTGTTCTGGTGGCCAAGCATGACTAAAGATTGTGAAGCGTACGTGAAGACTTGTGCGATCTGCCAGAGGAACAAGCCCACCAGGAGCAAGGCCTGGGGTCTGCTACAACCCTTACCAATACCTAACAGGCCATGGGAAATTATTTCCATCGACTTCATCGTGGGGCTTCCACCATCCGAAGATCACACTGCCATTTTCGTGATTGTGGACCGCCTGTCCAAGATGGCCCACTTCCTGCCCCTGAGAAACACGCCATCGGCTGCGGAGACAGCACAAGTCTTCGTGAGGGAAGTGGTGAGACTTCATGGGTCCAAAAGGACATTGTCTCAGATAGAGGGGTCCAGTTCACCTAAATTCTGGAGAGCACTGTGCGAGACCCTGGGAATCAAGCTGTCGTTATCATCGGCATCGGCATATCATCCACAGACCAACGGGCAGACAGAACGCACAAACCAGACTCTGGAGCAGTACCTCAGGTGCTACACCTCCTTCCTTCAGGATGATTGGCTGAATCTCCTGCCACTGGCCGAATTCGCATACAACAATGCGAATCACTCTGCTACCCAGCAATCTCTGTTCTTCGCCAATTATGGATTCCATCCCACATTTCTACCCAACAACGATTCCGGAAGTCCAGTGCCAGCTACACAGGATATGCTACAGTTTTTCTCAGCAAACAAGATCTTACAAGAAGCTATCACAAAGGCCCAAGAAGATAATAAAAAGGCCTTCGACAAGAGGAGGAGAGGCGAACTCGTTCTGCACCCTGGGGACCAGGTCTGGCTAGCCACAACAAATCTGAAAATGTCTTGCCCATCAAGAAAATTAGGACCAAAATTCATGGGTCCATTCAGGGTGAAACGAAAGATTAACGAGGTGGCGTACGAACTCATACTTCCCGAATCTTTTAGAATACACCCGGTCTTTCACGTGTCCTTGTTGAAACCCGCAACACCGGATCCATTCCTGGACCCGGAGATCTAGACCCCCGGAGGCCATAACCATTGATGAGGAAGTAGAATTTGAAGTAGAGGCAATCATAGATTGCAGGAAAAGGGGCGGGCAGACACAATTCCTGATTAAGTGGAAGGGTTATGGTCCAGAAAAGAACTCATGGGAGCCAGCCCAAAACGTTCACGCCCCTAGACTTGTCCAAGAGTTTTTCACAGCCACCCACAGAGGAGAGATCGGTTGGGCAGCCAGAGGCTGCCAGTAGAGTGGGGGGGCAATGTCAGGGATCACCGCGACGCATGAGTCTGCACATGCGTAGGTGTCCGACAAGACATGCAGGCAGGCGCGCACTAGGACCTAGGCGCGCCTGTCACCTATGACGGCGCTGGCAGGCACTAGGACCCAGGCGCGCCTGTCAGCACCAGGTGGGCTATTTAAACCAGCCCTGCACCGTTTGGTCTTATTGTCCTGTTCCTGTATTCTGATCCTGTGAAGCTTCCTGTTGCCGACCTCTGCATTGATCCTGACCCTGCTGATTGTCTCCTGCTTGGATAATCTGTACCACGCTGCCCGTTCGTTGCTGAACCCGGCTCATGACCCTGACCATTCTCTGCCTGCTCCTCTGGTACCTCTCTGCCCGCACGTTGCTGACCTGGCCTGCCTGACTACTCCTTACGTTACCCTGATGATCCATCCATCCCGCATGGATCTGTCCCTGTTACCAGGCCTGCCAGCCTCACGTCAGGCTCTATTTCCCGCACACCCCTGACAGTGCTCTCTACCACTGCCAGATGTACTCGGGGGTCGCGACCTGGTCTCAGTCTGCTCCAAGTCCATCCCCACCATCAGGGGCCCTGGTGAATAAGCAGATTGGGACTTAGACCCCGCGCCCTGAGGAACCCCCCGCGCTGTGGGTTGCTAGAGACTCCGCCAGGCGGTGCTTGACAGGGGCTTATAAGTATCTGGAAGCCCCCTTTAACAAGGGGGCCCCCAGATCCTGGCCCCCCCTAACATGAATGAGTATGGGGTACATGGTACCGCTACTAATTCACAAAAAAAACAAAAGTGTAGTGTAACAAAAGACAGGACACCGTCTTTGACAAGTCCTTTAATAAAAGAAAAATCCCCCGAAGTAAATCCAACGTCAATCACAGTGTAAGGCGCCTGCGACCCGAAACTAGAAGAAAAAAAAAAGTTCCATTCCTGATGATGGTTGCTCAGCCGTATACTCCAAGGCTGGGTGACAGCTCTTAAATATGTAAGGGGCGGAGCCACCTAGGGACATTATCTGAGTGACCCCGCCCCATGTCACCTGCATGATGTCCCCGGAAATATGTAAAATCATTACAGAAATAATTATAAAGGATAAGAAACCAAAACAGAGTAAATAGAACTAAGGAAATTAAAATAGAATACATAAAGATATGCCTAGCTACAAATAGTGCTGTTTGTTAAACACAGTAGACGTGATCGAGTGCCGTCTGTCAGAGGACTCCACACAGAGATTTACTATTAAACAGCTTCTAAAAAGAAAGCGCCCACAGCAGACGGCTAAAATGTGTTCTGCAAAAAGTAGCGGTCGCTATTAAAAAGTAGATGTTAGCCCACAGAAATGTGCCTAGGCACATTAGTAAATGGGGGTCTGTATGTTGACTCCAGCCATCAAGAATGTGTACTCACCAAACAATTGGTACAATGGATTAAAACAGTCTATCCTCCCCAGTCTTGGACCAAGGTGTCTGGAGTGCCCCAAGGGTCAAAGGAAGATTGTATGACTTACTACAATCACTTTGAAAAAAGCTGTGGAATCAGCTAGTGGGGACATTACTAACAGTGCCCTATCACCCGTGTTGGGACATAGCTTCATTACTGGGTTGAGAGGAAAGATCAGGGAAAAACTGACTGCAAATCCAGACTGGAGAGATAAGCCCCTATCCTCTTTGTTGTCACTTGCAACTGCTATTGAAAGGAATATAGCTGGGATTCACAGAAACCTCAGAGGATTTGCATTGTCACTGATCAGTCGAACGGTGCAGATCTTGGCCTAAAACAGAAAAGGAAACCTGTCTGCTTCAACTGCAACAGACCAGGACACTTTAAGAGGGAGTGTAGAGCTCCAAGACAAAGTAGGCCATTGCGGCCTGGAAAGAATCTAAAAGAGACCCCAAGTGATGGGGAGAGCTCCCAGTGTTACCTGTAATCTTGACAAATGCGCAAGGAAGTGCTTATGTACAAATGCAACTGAATAATCAGACCCTAAATTGTTTAGTAGACACCGGGGCAGCTTGTTCTGTTTTTAAATCCAGTGAAGTCCCATTCAATCTTCCCATTCAAAATACAATTAGGGGAGTTGGTCTAGGGCAGGCCTTGACATTTCCACTCGCTTGCTTGCCAATGGTGAGTGGAAATTATGGTGGGGGTGAGTGTATCCCCCAGGGCCGTCTTGCTGAGCAGGCTCGGAGCTCAGGCCGGATCTGTCATTGGCACTGGGAGCCGTCAGACTGCTTGATAGCTGAGCGCAGTGAAAGCAAAGGAAAAAGTGTGTGCTGTGCTCTCTGCCTCCCCCTAGAGTGTAGCACCCAGCTCTGTGAGTGAACACCGAAGTACTGCAACTTTTTATAGGTGGGTGTGTGTGTGCCTACCTAATTTCAGCTCACTCTGGTCACATGATCCTCTACGTCAGCCAGGGGTGGCTTCAGGGGAGAGGAGAGAGCACTTAACTGTGTGTGTGTGTGCACATGTGTGTTTGTGTATGCATGTACATGTGTGTATCTATACATGTGTCTGCGTATATGTACATGTATGTGTGTGTGTACATGTGTCTGTGTGTATGTGCATGTACATGTGTGTGTGTGTTTGTGTGTATGTACATACATGTGTCTGTGTGTACATGTGTCTCTGTATGTACATGTGTCTGTCCGTGTGTATTTCTGTGTATGTACATGTATCTGTGTGCGTGTCTGTTCATGCCTGTGTGTGTATACATGTGTCTGTGTGTGTGTGTGTGTTTGTTGGTGGCAAGTAACTCTTAAGGCCTGGCTAGTACCTCAGGACTTGAAATTTTAAGCCCTGGTCTAGGGGTATATCATAACCCCTATTGGAAACAAATCCCACTAAAGTTCGAATTGGACCCAAACTGAAGCCTCCCAGCTCTTGAGCGATTCAGTTCCTTGCAATTTGCTGGGAAAAGATTTGCTCTCCCAAATGAGAGCACAAATACAATTTTCCGAGGATGGAGTGGAGGTGAACATACCTTCTGATCCGGACCAACATCAAATGGTAGAAACATTGCTTTGTGTAAATTGGAACTAAATACCAATATTACAGAGAGCTTGCCCAGTAATTTATCCGAAAGCACAAATTCAAATGTTTGGGCTAAATAGGGTAACACGGGACATATGATCCACTGCCCTCCTGTTAAGATCAAGCTGAAACCAGATGCTATCATTTATAGGTTACCACAGTATCCATTGAAACTGGCTCAAGTGGAGTCAATTATTTTTTTTTTATTAATATTTTATTGAGTTTTTCATTTCATCTATTCCATCCATTACAAAAAGGATTCAATATAACTTATTCAATTATTTTCATTCAAAGTACAAAATTACAAAACCTCCCCTACCCCCCACCCATACCCATTCAATACTTTCCCTTCCCTTTCCCCCCACCTCCCCCTCCCCTCGGCATCATTCCTCTCTCTTTTAGGATCCTGGGGTTTTCCTCCATTCCTATATACTTTCAATTAGATTGAGCTTCTTAAAATCTTTTTCCATTTCTCTCGAAACCACTCCATTTTGTCCTCATCTATGTGGTATAATTCCTCCATTCTATATATCTAATCTACCTTTCTAATCCAATCTCTTTTTTTTGGCACTTCCTGTTCAAATGGATTCCACTGTGTCTTTCTTCGTTAGGGGCCCACAGAGTTTTTCTATGAAATGTCTCATTTGTAAATACCGCCACTCATCTACTTTAGTGAACAACTCCTTCTTCTTTTTCATTTCTACTAGGGGACAGATTTTCTCGCCTTTCATTAGGTCTCTTAGTTGAGCATCTCCTTTTTTTTTATCCATCACCCTGCAACCTTTTCATTCCCCGGTGGGAAGAAATCTGTGTTTACGATAGGCATCAACATTGAGTTAAATTCCCATCCCATCTGTTTGTGCATTGTGTCCCAAACTCTCAAAAACAATTCTTGTAAATATACTTGTGCAGCCTATCATTCCACGACAGTGGGGTGGTAACCATATTATCTTATCCAAATGTGTGTTACTTAACCACTAGCCTACAGGGCACTTATACCCCCTTCCTTCCCAGGCCAATTTCCAGCTTTCAGCGCTGTTGCACTTTGAATGAAAATAAGTGCGGTCATGCAACACTGTACCCATATGAATTTTTATAATTTTTTTGTGACAGATAGAGCTTTATTTTGGTGGTATTTAATCACCTCTGGGTTTTTTTTATTTTTTTCTTAAACCAAAAACCACTGAAAATTTTGAAAAAAAAAGTTTTTTCTTAGTTTTTGGTAAAAATTTTTGTAAATAAGTGATTTTTCTCCTTCTCTGCTGTGCGCTAATGAGGCTGCAGTGATGGGCACTGATAGGCTGCACTAATGAACACTGATAGGTGGCACTGATGAGGAGGCACTGGTAGGTGGCACTGATGGGCGCTGAAAGGCAGCACTCATATATGGCACTGATAGGCGGCACTGGTAGGTGGCACTGACAGGCGGCACTGACTGGCACTGTTAGGTGGCACTGACTGGCACTGTTAGGCGGCACTGATAGGCAGCACTGACTGGCACTGATGGGTGACACTGAAAGGCAGCTCAGATGGGCACTGATATGTGGCACTGAAATGTGTCACTGATGTGGCACTGTCAGATGGCATTGATGAGCACTGAGAGCTGGCAATGATGGACACTGACAGGTGGCGCTGCTGGGGCTACACAGATCATCAGGGCACACTGATCATTAGTGCCCTGATGATCTGTGCACATGTCCCCTCCGAGGAATGCTGATTACCGGTTCTCCTCTCCTCACAAGCTGTCAGCGTGACAGCTCGTGGGGAGAGAAATGCAGATAACCGGCATTTCCCTGTTTACATGTAATCAGCTGTGATTGGACACAGCTGATCACATGACCGAGCTGACGTCTTCAGCTTTTTCCGTGGATCGGTGATCCGCTGTGTCCGAGGGAGCCGCACATGCGCGGTTTGAATGGGAGGACGTCATATGATGTCCTCCCAGAATGAGAGAACCACCTTGCGTCCTTCATATTACTACAGTGAGGAAGTATTTGAACACCCTGCGATTTTGCAAGTTCTCCCACTTAGAAATCATGGAGGGGTCTGAAATTCACATTGTAGGTGCATTCCCACACTCTGAGAGAGACAGAATTTTAAAAAAATTCAAGAAATCACATTGTATGATTTTTAAAGAATTTATTTGTCTTGCACTGCTGAACATAAGTATTTGAAGACCTGAGAAAATCAGTGTTAATATTTGGTACAGAAGCCTTTGTTTGCAATTACAGTGGTCAAACGTTTCCTGTAGTTCTTGACCAGGTTTGCACACACTGCAACAGGGATTTTGGCCCACTCCTCTACACAGATCTCCTCTAGATCTGTCAGGTTTCGGGGCTGTCGCTGAGCAACACGGAGTTTCAGCTCCCTCCAAAGATGTTCTATTGGATTTAGGTCGGGAGACTGGCTAGGCCACTCTAGAACCTTGATATGCTTCTTACGGAGCCACTCCTTGGTTATCCTGGCTGTGTGCTTTGGGTCGTTGTCATGTTGGAAGACCCAGCCACGACCCATCTTCAATGCTCTGACTGAGGGAAGGAGGTTGTTGCTCAAAATTTCACAATAAATGGCCCCATTCATCCTCTCCTTAATAATACAGTGCAGTCGTCCTGTCCCCTTCACAGAAAAGCACCCCCAAAGCATGATGTTACCACCCCCATGCTTCACAGTAGGGATGGTGTTCTTGGGATGCAACTCATCCTTCTTTTTCCTCCAAACACGATGAGTGAAGTTTAGACCAAAAAGTTCTACTTTGGTCTCATTTGACCACATGACTTTCTCCCATGCCTCCTCTGGATCATCCAGATGGTCATTGGCAAACTTCAGACGGGCATGGACATGTGATGACTTGAGCAGGGGAACCTTCCGTGCAATGCATGATTTGAAATCATGACGGCGTAGTGTTCTACCGACAGTGACCTTTGAAACTGTGGTCCCAGCTCTCTTCATGTCATTGACCAGCTCCTTTCTTGTAGTTCTGGGCTGATTCCTCACCTTTCTTATCAGTGATACCCCGTGAGGTGAGATCTTGCATGGAGCCCCAGTCCGAGGGAGACTGACAGTTTGTCTTTAGCCTCTTCCATTTTCTAACAATTGCTCCAACAGTTGATCTATTTTCACCAAGCTGCTTGGCAATTGCCCCGTAGCCCTTTCCAGCCTTGTGGAGGTCCACAGTTTTGTCTCTGGTGTCTTTTGACAGCTCTTTGGTCTTGCCCATGGTAGTAGTTGGTGTCTGACTGACTGTGGGGTGGACAGGTGTCTTTAAAAAGCTCAGACAGGTGCTACTAAGTTAGATTAATGAGTGGAGTAGAGGTGGACCTTTTAAAGGCACTGTAACAGGTCTTTGAGAGCCAGAATTCTTGCTGTTTCTTAGGTGTTCAAATACTTATGTTTAGCAGTGCAAGACAAATAAATTATTTAAAAATCATACAATGTGATTTCCTGAATTTTTTAAAAAATTCTGTCTCTCAGAGTGGGAATGCACCTACAATGTGAATTTCAGACCCCTCCATGATTTCTAAGTGGGAGAACTTGCAAAATCCAGGGTGTTCAAATACTTCTGTTCCTCACTGTATATGGTGGACGGGAGTTGGTTAATGTGTTTTCTATATTTATCCAACTTTTCCTCTGTGCATTATGTGTCCAGTCAAAAATTTGTGCTATCAATACTGAGTTATAATATCTTTTAAAATCAGGAACACCCAATCCCCCATTTTCTTTGTCTCTGGTTAGAACTTCATAACTTATTCTAGGTTTTTTAGTTCTCCAAATAAACTTTAACATAATTTTTTTCATTATCTTAAATACTGTCCTGGCAGCTTTATTGGAATCATCTGAAATTTATATAAAATTTTTGGAACAATTTTTTTATTAGATTTATTCGTCCTATCTGTCAGGAATGGACTCAGCACTGGTGGTGGGACTCACCTGCTGTGTGGGCGGCAGTACCAGGGCTGACCAGCGGGTGCTCTCAGCAGCCAGAAGCTCACTCCTGCAATCAGCCAACACCTGGGACTGATGGCAGGAGGTGTATTTAAGGAATGGCCAGACCTGCAGTCAATGCCTTGGTGTATGTTTCCCATGAGCACCCTATACCGTGTATCCTGTGTTCCTGTTCTGCTGACTATCTGATTTGTTGCCGACCCTGCCTGATCCTGACCTCTGCTGACTTCTCCTGCTTGATCCCTGGCTTGCCTGACCATCCTTCTGCCTGATCCTCTGTACCGCGCTGCCCGTGAGTTACTGAACCCGGCTTGTGACCCTGACTATTCTCTGCCTGCTCCTCCGGTACCTCGATGCCCACGCGTTGCTGACCTGGCCTGCCTGACTACGCCTGACGCTACCCAGACGATCCATCCATCCATCCTGCACAGATCTGTCCCTGTTACCAGGTCTGCCAGCCTCTTCACGCCAGGCTTTCCCCCGGTACCTACCCTCGGCGGACCCCTCTACCACAGTTGGGTGCACTCAGGGGCCGCGACCTGGTCTCAGTCCTGCGCCAAGTCCTTCCCCACCATCAGGGGCTCTGGTGAAAAGGCAGACTGGGGCTTAGACTCCGCGCCCTGGGAAATCCTGTTCTGTGGGTACTAGAGATCCCGCCGGGCGATGCCTGACAGTACCTAACGGCCTGCCTGACCATTCCACCTCTCCAGCCCTGACTACGGCTGTGTTCCCACACATTTCTGGTCATACCCGGATCCTTAACACTATCCAAGATATACCACCTATGCCAAAATCTCTAATTTTATCGTTGATTTCATTTAATAATGGAATATAATTTGCTTTATATAGGTTCTTTAAGGAAATGGCTAAATTTATTCCCAAATATTTTAGTTCTTTTTCCTTCCACGAGAAAGAAAATTCTTTTTGTAATGCTTTTTTCTCTCCTCTTGAAAGACTTATATTCAAGATTTCTGTTTTAGTTGGATTTATTTTTAAGTCCCCATATTCCTCCAAAGTTTTCAATAAGTTGGGTAATGTTATCCTTTGCTTACCTACATAGAACAGCAAGTCATCGGCATATGCCGCTACTTTATGCTCTGTCTCTCCTATCCAAATTCCCTTAATATCTGTGTTTTTCCTTATTTTTTCTAGGAGGGATTCTAAAGACAGTAACAAAACCAGGAATTTTTCTCTTTTACTTTTTTGTATAAGCAATATTGATCTTAATATATTATCCCTACCCTCTCTCCCAGGGACAAACCCCACTTGATCCATATGGATCCACTCCAGCATTAAATCCTTTAACCTATTTGCTAAAACGTTTGCATATAGTTTAGTGTCTATATTTAGTAAGGATATTGGTCTATAGCTAGAGCATTGTGTACTATCTTTACCTTCTTTTGGTATTATTGTAATATGAACCTACAGGGATTCCTCCCTCATTTCTATCTCTCCTACCAATGCATTCATATATATATATTCAATTTAGGTATTAACTGATCTTTAAATTTCTTATAGTATCTCACAGTATATCCGTCTGGACCCGAACTTTTCCCTGCCCTAGTACTCTTCAATGCACTTTGGATTTCTTCTTCTGATATTGATCTCTCAAGGGATATTAACTGCTCTTCTCTCACTTTCGGTAACCCCGCCTCTTTTAGGTATATTGGTCTTTTTTTACTTCTTTCTTCCTCTTCCATTATGGACCATTGAGGATTTATATTATATAACTTACTATAATAATCTTTAAACACTTTTGCAATATTTTTGGTAGAATATTTTAATTCGCCTTTATTATCTCTTACTTTCTCTGTATAGTTCTTAGCTTTCTTTTTTCTTTAAGCTCTCATTAACCATTTTCCTGGTCTATCTCCCCACCGATATCTTTCACCAATCATCTTATTAAACACTCTCCTTTTTTCTTCCTCCATTAATTTTAGTTCCTCTAGTTTTTTCCATTAAATGCTGCTTAATCTGTTTTGTTATTTTCTTTATATGTACCTGTTCTAATTGAAATAATTCTTTATGAAGCATGTTAATCCTCTATTTCCTTTCCTTTTTCTTCTTCGCCCCAATCACTATCAAGATTCCTCTAATATAGGTCTTATGGGCTTCCAGTCGCCATCGACACTTCCTCAGTCTCATTTCTCGATTTCTTTCAAAATATTGCTCTATTTCTCTTTTAATTGTCTGTTCCATCTCCTGATCTTGAAGAAGTGTCTCATTTAATCTCCACGTGTTTATCTTTTTATGTTCTCTTCCCCATATTAACCTCATTGTGACAGGTGCATAATCCGATATTGTTATAACTTCTTACTTTGCTTTTACCAGAGACTCTATGGCCCTGACTCACTAAGATGTGAGTCTATCAGCAGAGTCTGACCATTCAGGCAGACTCCAGTCAATCAATCAGTCGTCTGACCAGCGTCTAGCAAGCTCATTGACGAGCGTCTACTGACTACTTTGCTATTACTAAATGTGGTATCCCGTCTGGCACATGTTTAGGTGCAATACCGGATATGTTCGCTAGATGGCGCACAAGCGCGGGCTTTATTTTGATGGCAAAAGAGAATTCTTAGAATGTAATAAATAGTAC